TTAGCAAATGGCTGCAATATAACAAAGAGTGAAAAATTTAAGGGGGTCTGAATACTTTCCGTACCCACTGTATATTATATATATTTTTGTACTGTCAATGGTACCATCACTGTTTGGCTACAGGATTGTGTGAGACTGTGGTGGGTGGTCATCGATCCCTCTAGGGGGGTCCGGGGGCATGCTCCCCCGTAAGAAAATTTAGTACATTTTAAAGTTAAATTCATAAATCTGGTGCACTTTGAGAGTTCAAAATTAAGAGCTCCAACACAGGTTCAGTCACAGTGTGTAAACTTAAAGACAAAAGCTGGTGAATCTACTTGTTCTTGAAATTTAAAGGGGACTCGCTTTTTAGTTGTGATATAGCCAAACAAATTAGAATAAAATAATAATAATAATTGTATATTATTATTCCTATGATAGTAATAGCCATATATTGTAAAAAAAAAATAAAACAATTGCAATGTGAAATAAATGAAAATGATTTTTTTTTCAGGTAGCCTATATTATTTTACCTTACTCTACAGTAGGGAAATTGCAATACTTTTGTCTTAATTTCTACACTTGCAAGCAGGGCCTAAAAGTAACTTTCACATCTGTCAGTGGCTGGTGACTTGAGAAAATTTACCAGCCATAAATATTTTTCCTTGCCATGAAACTGTTTTTGCAAAAAACTGGCAGTTGCTACTACTACAACAACTAAACATATTTAATAAAACAATTTAAAAAGCCATTTGAAATTAGAACCAACCACTGCATTTTAATCACGATACAAACAAAGATACAAAGACAAAACCAGCATGAAACAAAAACAGACAGCCTGAATGAGAAGGCAAATTCACTCTCTGACAGCAGGTGGCGCTTATGGATCAGCAGTGATAAGATCAGTTCCCTTCAGAAATACATTCATATAAACCCCCACCCCAATATTTATATTTTTCTTCCGAACAGTGCGCTTGCTGTACCTGTACAGTATTTTCTCTGTGCACGTCTGTTAATAGGCCATGCTTGCAAGAGATAAACCCTTGAGCTTTTATTTTGACGGAAACTTCAGTTGAGCTTTTATTTTGGCGGAAAACTCCAGCTTCTGTGAAAACAGGTTTACAAACATTACTAACTGAATGAAATACTGTAAACATTTGCACAGTATTTTCTCTGTGCACGTCTGTTAATAGGCCATGCTTGCAAGAGATAAACCCTTGAGCTTATATTTTGACGGAAATTTCAGTTGAGCTTTTATTTTGGCGGAAAACTCCAGCTTCTGTGACAACAGGTTTACAAACATTACTAATTTAATTAAATACTGTAAACATTTGCCCATTAAAATGTTGAAAATTATGCAAATTATGCATAACTGGTGGTGGCCGTTGCGTTCCCAAACGCGCTAAACTCACAGCACATTCAATAACGGAGTTCACTGCAGTCACTGTGATCTGAGTCGCTCTGAGACGCGGAAAACACCGGATCACGAGCTGATCGCGTGCGTAAAGTGTGAGCTTCACTTTGAAACAAGCAGCGCAAACAGACTTGATAAGTCATATTACGCTTTCGGTTTTAATTCGTTTGACGGATACTTGCCAAAGCAATAGCGTGAAACACAACGTCAAATAACCTTTATGTTATATGAGAAGTATGAATATAGCCAATATCTTCGGGTTATTATGAAACTGTGGCGAGCAGCCACAGTCTAGTTAATGAATGGGAAACACTGCAACATTCTTCAAAATATCTCATTTCGTGCTCGACAGAAGAAAGAAACTTATACAGGTTTGAAACAACTTGAGGGTATGTAAATGACAGAATTTTCATTTTGTGTGAACTATCGCTGTAAAGTTAATGTGACAATCACGTACAATGGTAAATGTGTTTATATAACATCGCTAAGCTCTTTTGCGTTATTGTAACTTACTGTGCCTTTCAGACAGTTTTCCCTCAGTCTGTGTGTGTGTGTAGAGCACTGCCAGAGGCTGAAGTCACGCTCACCCATGGTGCACTGCTGGATGTGAGGGGCTGATATTTGAGCTGCTTTTAAAACTGAAGAACCATGAGCTCCCACCAAGCCCTTCTCCAACCAGGTGGTTCAAAGCCCTGTGGAGGTTAGTACGACTGAATTAAAAAAAAAAATTTTTTATTACATGTTTAAAATTAAAAGGATGTTGGTGTTAGTTATATTCATTTGCTTTTAGTTTATGGTTTATTATATATTTTTTACCCATTAAAAAGAAATCCTCAAAACTTCATGTTTATTATATAAAGTGCAGTTATGAGTATAAAATACACCAATTCCTATAAACACTTTTACATGCTCTGAATTTCTTGGAACTTTATTTCACAATCTCTTTTAAACGTAGCACAAAGAGTTCCACAGCTGAAATAAAACATTTATTTGAAATAGAACTTTTTTTGTAAATGTAAAAGCCTTTACTTCTGTGACCTTTCTCACACAGCCTCGCTTTGAAACTGATATCAGAACTGATAATAGTCAACTTGACATTGAGGTACTAAATTAAGCCAACTTGACTTAAAGGGGTCATATGATGCGATTTAAATTTTTACTTTCTCTTTGGAGTGTTACAAGCTCTTGGTGCATAAAGAAGATCTGTAAAGTTGCAAAGACTAAAGTCTCAAATCCAAAGAGATATTCTTTATAAAAGAGTCAGCCACACTTACCTAAAACGGCTCGTTCTAACACGCCCCCACATATCTATGTCGCTCTGTGGGAAGATTTGCATAACTCCGCCCAAATGTTCACGCAAAGAAAGAAGGCGTAACTTTTATTCTCGCTGTAGTATTGTTATTGCCGCCGCCATATTTTATATATTTAAAGCGACTTTTTTGGGCAGTGTAGAGTAGGGCACACACACAGCACACCTCGCTTTTTTAGAACGATGAGCTTTGTAAAAATCGACGCGTTTCAGAAAGGCGGGGAATAGAGGAGAAACAATAATGTACAGTATGTGGAAAATAATGTGTTTTTTGAACCTTAAACAGCATAAACATTTCATTACACCAAATAATGTTCTTTTTAGCAGCATCATATGACCCCTTTAACCTGAAATGGGTGAAGCCCCTAATGTATAGAACACAACTGGGTATGAACAGAGAAAACACTGAAATAACAACAGTGAAATATAGCCTAATAAAACCTAGCTTAGAATTTGTAGTCTTATGTTTTTGCTTGGATTACTCTATTTACAAAGCAGACGCTTGCCAGAGAAACTTGTTCATTCCCTTAGACAAAGCCTCACATTGTGTTTTCTCTCAGCTAGCCAAAAGTAGCTTATGACAAAGACCATAACCGGTGTTCTCTGTCACAAGATTAGCAAGCTGTTAGTATTTGCCTTTATAAATGTGCCAAGCAGTCAAATGACGAAGATTGTAAAACCTGGTGATGCTTTTTTATGTCATCCATTTCACTCTCCTCAAGCAACAACAGATGTAACAAGGTGATATTGACTCTTGAAAAATACAGTCAGCACAAAAGTGCACATAAAAAAAATGTACAAAAAAGATACAAAGCTTTCACTGGGGCTGTACGCTTAGGTACAAAAGCTAAAAGGGACATCTTACCACCTTATTTACCCCTAAATGGTACATATTTGTACCTTAAAGGTACATATAAATACATTAAAAGTACATATTAGTACCAAAAGTATATTAGTACCTTTGAAAGAGTGACAGTTTTGTACCTATCTGGATACCTAACCCTTAACTGAACCTTAAATTCTAATTGTTGGTTGTTTCAAGGTCAACAAGGATATTTATCCAGATTTGTTCGCCTTATGGTAAAATAGTAAAAAAAAATTCTGTGTTTTACAGTGAATTTAATAGCACAAACACTATGTGCTGAAAAGTATAATCATCATTCAGGATTTCATTGCCAGGGTTGCTGCACTACTACAGTGAGGACACAATTCAAATGCCTTTTTACCCTCCATGTGGGAAAGTCTCTTTAATATAAAAACAATTTTAAACCCATGTATAAACTTTCATATTGAAACATGGAATGTTCATTGATTCTGTACTGTATGCAGCTGTCTGCATGCTTCTGAACAACTATACAGAAAGTAGTGATAACACTACACTATCTCACACTCTTCTTGGTGTAAACTGCACATTAATGTTTCATACATTTATTAATTTAACATAAGTTTATCCAGTGATTTACAGATGAGAATAACAGTCATTCATTCAAGAGAGAAAACAACACTAAAGCTACCCATATATTTTTTAAAGAAATAACATTTTAATTTTATAATTTAAATTTATTCAGCAAGGATGCATTAAACTGACAGTGACAGTAAAGATATTTGCAATGTTACAAAAGATTAACATTTCAAATAAATGCTGTTGTTTTCTTAACTTTCTGTTCACCAAAATGTATCCACAAAAATATGAAACAGCACATGTATTTATGTATTTATATTGTAAAATCAACAATTTTCAGAATACAGATGGTAATATTACACAATAATCTGACCACAGTAGTTGCTTTATGTAATAAATATGAAAAAAAAAAAACCCCGAAATCCTAAAAATCCTCTTTTTTGTTTTTACTTCACATAACGATAAAATATGGGATCATGAATATAATACAAAGTTTCAAGTCTCAATTAGAATATGACTGTTCCCTAAATGTTTATTGTTCCCTACAGTCTTCTGAAAACAAAAATGTACAGTGTACTCTGGGACAAATTGCCTGACCAGTGTTTTTGTATTTAGACATATGAAATGGATTTGGAAGCAAGAGTAACATGGTTCAAATTCTAGACGATATACTGATATACTATTCAGGTCTTTTGTAGATTGTTTCTCCCTTGCCCTCTTTCATTGCAGCATATCTAGCCACCGTGAACAAGTAGTCACTCAATCTGTAATCAGTGTTCATTGATAAAACTTATATCAATGAATGAAATAAAATTCTCAAAAAAATACTCATTGAACAAAATTCATAGATTCAAAATTATAATTAGTGACTAATAGTTAGAATAGGTTCTTACCTGTTCAGATATTTGGCAACTTCAGGATCTGTCTCACCCGAACGAACAGCAGGGGCAACACTGTAATAGATAATGTAAGACCTATGACCTTTGATACAGCTGTAAGGTAACACAAGTAGAACTGATAAACTTTACTGAATATTGTGGATGTCAGACTGACCAGCGTTCAGCCCGTCGACACACTGCTCTGGCCACATGTAAAGCTGCGCTGCTTTTCCCTCCTGACTGCAAATTGAGTGTGAGATTAAATGGCTTTCCTTCAGTAAAAACTTAAATTGCAGTATTGTAACAACCTAAATCAAATACAATTCTCTATGTACATAATATCAGTATTTCAGGTACTCTGAGGAGATTATGTAACCATATATATTTCTGGAACATACATACTAGGGCTGCACGATTAATCGCATGCGATATTTAACGCGAATCTTATCAGTAAAGCCGGTTCTGTAATCAGCGGTAAATCTCCATTTTTTGCGCAACTCGTCAGCTGATTACAGACCGGCTTTACTGATAAGATGCGCGTTAAATATCGCATGCGATTAATCGTGCAGCCCTAATACATACAGGAAGTATGAAGTTGGTGAGTGGAGGCAGCTCCTCTGTGAACAAATCAATCCACCTCTCCAGCTCAATCACAGCCTGAGAGCTGAACATAGTCTTCTCTTTTTGAAACGAGAACATCATCACATGGTTTATGTTTTACTGCTTATCTTTATGATTAAATATTTGAATGCATTTAGATATTAAAAATGTCCTTCTGCTTACTGATGTGACTGTCTCTAGCTGATGACTGGGGAGTGGCAATATTTGACCCTACATCCTGTAGTACACACTGGATCTGTACAGAACAGAGAAGTATATAAGCACAAAATGTAAACCAAGTGCTATTTACGCGAAACCATTTCAAATCTGAGGTCAAATGACTTCATACATCCACTAAAATCAACTTGATACCAGCTGGTTAAAAATAATTGCAAAATTACTCAAAATTACAATTTACTCACCCTCAGCCTACATCTCAAAATGTAGATAAGATTGTTTCTTCATCAGAACAGATTTGGAAGAATTTTGCATTACATCACTTGCCCACAAATGGATTCACTGCAGTGAATGGGTGCCGTCAGAATAAGAGTTCAAACAGCTGATATTTTTATATGAAGATATTTTTTAATGAAATCCAAGAGATTTCTGACCCTGCATAGACAGCAATTAGGGATGTAACGATTCACTCAACTCACGATTCGATTCTATTCACGGTTTTGATTTCACGATTCGATTCACGTTTTTTTTTTTTAACACATTGAGATTTAAGACAAATTATAAATTAAATGTGTCATTTTATTATTGCTTGGACAAAATACTGTTCTTTTTTTGTGAAATTGAAATATAACACTATAATAATATACTAATATAGCACTTGTAAATTATTGCTCTTTTGTTGGTTTTGATTGCTTCTATTGTCCTCATTTGTAAGTCGCTTTGGACAAAAGCGTTTGCTAAATAACAAAATTTAAATATAATGTAAATGTAAATGACAAAACTAAATTGAAATTTTAAAACAAGCCCCAAATCAAATAAGTAACACAAAAGAAATCTCTTCGTATAAACAAACTAAGGCTTTGTCTGTGCTCTTTCCATTTAAAATTAGAGGCAACCACTGCATTTTAATCTTGATCCAAACAAAGATGCTGCATACATGCAACATGAGCAGTTTTTAATCTAAATTACATTGTATAATTTCGAAATTTGAAGCAAAAACAGAATGGTTTGACTTCAGTTTTGTGAAACTATGCATAAAAAATATCTGCACGAAACAGAAGCAGCAGACGAGTTGAATGAGATGCAGATTCACTCTCTGCCAGCAGGTGGCGCTTAAAGCGTTTCCTTGGTTTCCGCTGTAAACAAAGCGGCGCTGGATTTATGAACTTTAATATGCATTATACAGAGGCAAGAGGAAAAGAAAAAATACCATCGAAAGACAGTAAGTTCCCCTCAGACATACGTTCATATAAACTCCTAACCCTAATTGAATCGCGATTTGTTTAGCATCTCAACCGATTTGAATCGTCACATACTTAAAGCTATTTTCAACTGGCTCGCGGTTAATCGTTACATCCCTAACAGCAATGCAACTGAAATGTTTTATGGCCCAGAAAGGCAGTAAGGACATTTTTAAAATAGTCCATGTGACATCATCGTTGCGGTACTCTCGTGAACGCGCATCGTTAGTCGTTAGTTTTGTTTTCTTTGTGCACAAAAAGTATTCTCGTAGCTTCATAAAATTAAGGTTGAACCACTGATGTCACATGGACTATTTTAACGATGTCCATACTGCCTTTCTGGGCCTTGAACGTGGTAGTTCCGTTGCCGTCTATGCAGGGTCAGAAAGCTCTCGGATGTCATCAAAAATATCTTAATTTGTGTTCCGAAGATGAACGAAGGTCTTACGGGTTTGGAACGACATGAGGGTGAGTAATTAATGACAGAATTTTCATTTTGGGGTTTGTTTCTCATTAAAATGAGAGAGAGAGACAAACCTTCTCCAGCTGATCTGTGAATGAATGGCCACTGTCAATGCAAAATTCTCTGGCTAACCTGAAAGAGAGAACCAGAGACATTTTGTTGTTGGAAATGAACTACATTCAGCGTTTTCGAGCCATTTGTCCCACACATTATGCTACATTAACTCTATCCATTACCCAATTGCTGATGATAATTCATCTGTTGTTCCCAAAGCGTCAAATATATGATCCTCCTTTGGTCTCCTCTCACCTGTGAAGGTACTGGAAAAACCTAGAGGCGAGACATTGAAAACAATACAATGTTTACACAAACCTGACACTTTCACTTTGACATGCAACACGTTAGTCAATAATCATGTTTGTTGTATAGAATTAAATAACCTTTATCTCCAGTTTTCGTGTATATCTTGGCAATTCTTCTATTTTCTTCAGATGTGCTGGTATACCTTAGAAAAGTGAGAGCACGTTAGTAACAAGCATTTATCTCAAATTAAATGTCACGCCACACTGATACAGTTTAGTTCATTGGCTACGTTAGCCTGAACACATGGGATATGGGATTCATTCACCATTCTTTTTACCTTCTTTCATGCCCACACGCAGGCTGCATCTGCTTTATGCTTACATATGTCCCTAAACGAAAGACACGGTGAAGACCCGTGTACTTGGTCACGAAAAACGACATCGTAAATGTTAAAAACATTTCCAAACGCGCTTCTGAGTTTACTACTGACCGTTTTGACTGCTTATGCTGCCCGTAGACGGGCGTTCTATCACGCAACCGATGACGTGAGGTGGTGCGAAATGCGATTGGTGTTTTGAGAGTCGGTGACGATGAGAGCTTCATCCTGATAGGCCGGTTGAGAGTCAGCGATGTGAGAGGTTAATCCTGATTGGTCCAGGCTACAGCGACAGTTCACGTGTGTGGCAATGGAAAAGCCGCGACGATGCGTTTGACGCTTGGCATCAGGATTTCTGGATTATTGAGCAGAACTGTTATTTTTAAACTGCTACAAGAGCAGTGCGCTGAATTTAGATCGGTGGTTGAACACAAATATGAGATTTTAGCAAGGCTTTATTGCTTTTGTCAGCATACACTGATACATTTCCCGAAAATATCTTATGAGCTGAGTTGAGTTACAACTTCAGAAGTTCAGAGACTCTAATATTCAAGATGCAAACAAGAGAGTTCTTCGTTTCAGCACCAGGGAAAGTGATTCTCCACGGTGAGCATTCAGTCGTGCATGGAAAGGTGGGTGTTTAGTCATCAGAGACCCAAACACAAAGATTTCCTTTTCCCTTTTGGTCCATTAGAATGGTTTAGAAAGTCATTGGTTTAGAAAAATCATATTAGTGAATCATATTTTGATCAGGATTTTGCAAAAACCTGATGTACACATGTGTACAAGTTTTATGGTCATGAAAATCATTTCATATATATTATATGTGATTTACCTTGTGGGAATAAGGTGGACATTTATTTTTTCATTTTTAATATTTATACAGTATATCGTTTTAATTAGTTTGTCAGAACTGTTGCTGTGTTACAGTTCAATTCTGCTGCTATTTGCTGTTTTTACCAATATTTATTTAATAGCTGTTGTTATTAATTGCTTAAAATCAAGTGTTCTGAAGTCCCTCCTGTTCTTAAACAGGTTGCTTTGGCTGTGAGTTTGAACCTGCGCACATACCTGAGGCTGCAGTCCACATCATCCGGTGAAGTGTGCATCAACCTCCCCAATATTGACACTTTTCTGTCCTGGGAAATAACTGCACTGCAGCCTCTTCTGGCTGGGTGTAAAGGTGAGTGGAGATGGATATTTGTTTTGTAATAAAAAGATAGTTCACCCAAAAATGAAAAATCTGTCAGTGTTTGCTCCTGTATATTCTGTCTCTCATTATTTTTTGGACTGTTCATTGAAGTTGTATTAACGCAGTTGTCGGAAAGCAATCATCTCTGGCCCATGTTTCTTTGACTGTTCGTTGTTTCAGCAGAGCAGGATGACCTGAAGGAACTTGATGCAGATCTTTTGAAGAGGCTGCGTGAATTCACAGGCATTTCAGATGATTCCACAGACACAAGAAGCATGGCAGTGTTGGCCTTCCTCTATATGTACCTGACTGTATTTGCAGAGTAAGAACACCATTAAACTCTCTGTATCATTTTGAAAAACTGCATATATTTGAAGCTGCATATGAACATTGTTGTAATATGCACTTTTGACTTTTGCTGCTGCGGGTTTTTTTTTTTCAGGTCTCTGGCCAGTATAACAGTGTCTGTGTGGTCAGAGTTGCCTACAGGAGCTGGTTTAGGCTCCAGTGCCGCCTATAATGTTTGTCTGTCTGCTGCTCTGCTGTCTGCCAGGGGAACCATATCGTCTCCTCTTACACCACAACAGGAGTCAGCCAGGTAAGACGTTATTGCAATGAAATATGGGGATTTTGTTTAGATAAGGTTCATAAGGATTGTTTCATTTACTTTTAACTCTTTAAAAGTGACTTACAGTCAATTATTCTAGGGAGTGTCCTTTTGAAACCACCTGCAGCCTTTTGGTTATCAGCCCAGATTGTTAGCAAAAAGGTGACGCCACTCTTGAAATGGCAACACCCTTCTGATTCAGATGATAGATTAAGTAACCAAGGATCTGAGATAAAGACCAAGGACCAGAGATTAAGTCCTTGTTCTTCATCTGTCCTCTCAAAAATCCCTCCAAGATTTGAAAATGTGTGGCTCAAAATACACTTTCCAGGGGAAATAATGATAAAAAGGGGTAAAATTTAGCTGCAGTGATCACCCCTATCATTTTTTTCCTATATTATTTTTCAATAAAAGTTAAGAAGAAAAAACAACAACTCCAAACTTGGAGGATTATTTTATTTGAACAAAAATACAGTGAAAACACAAATATTTTGGAATATTATTACTGTTTAAAATAACTGTTTTCTATCTTTTTATGTAATTTATTCCTGTGATGGCAAGATTCTCTGATGAATAGGTTTTTTAATATTTTAATATATTATAATATTATAAATGTCTTTTTAATGCATCAATTTAATGCATCCTTGCTCTCTTTATATAATACATATAAACAGGTATATATATATATATATATTCAAAATCATTCTTCTGTTTGTGTTGCAGGTGGAGTAAAGAGGAGATGGAGCTGATTAACAGGTGGGCGTTCATGGGCGAGAAGATCATCCACGGTAACCCTTCAGGGGTGGATAACGCTGTGGGCACATGGGGTAAGACTCTTAGTCTGTGACTGCCATCTTATACATCTATGGTGCTGCTTTGTTTGATGCCTTTTTTTGTGCTTCATCACCTTATTCTTTTTATAACAGGTGGCTTTTTAAGATACCATGCTGGGAATATAACTCCACTAAGCTGGTAATATTTTACTCTGCAAAGATTATTTTCACAATGTATTTTTTCATTATTATAAAGTTACTGTTCCAATTAAGCAGAAAAGTATATAAAAAGTTATATCAGTGAAATTACTGAACCAGCAGAATTTTGAAGTGTGTTATTGGGTTCATTTTCTCCCTAGGGTCCCTATTCTGAGAATCCTTCTCACTAACACCAAAGTACCACGTAGCACCAAAGTGCTTGTTTCTGGAGTGAAGGACAAAATTAACAAGGTAGTAAATGGCTCCCCTCAACCCCCCCCCCCTCCATGTTTTTTTTTCTGTCCCCTCCA